ATGAAGATGCCCCTGATGACAGAGGGAGCCCCTTGCTCATCCCCACGGCTGCTGGGGCAGAGTGGCAGGAAGGGCACAGGCCCTACCAGGCAACAACTTTGCTCAAGACCACTTTTGACTGCCGTGTTATTTATCTGGCATTTGCCAAAGCTGGAATGCAAAGGCCTTATTTAACTTCTTCCCCCACTTTCTTACAATGGATTGCTGAGGTTTCCGTGGAGTCCACATTTTAATTCATCTCCCTCCAGCAGACATCTCACGCCGGTGGCATTTTGTTACTGAAATTGTGGCAGCTATTGCAAAGTATTATTAACTTGGATACTTCTGGAAGCCTGGACATTCACAATACCCCTGCATCCCCACAGTTGCATGGGACAGCTGTGCTCTGAATAAAATCAAGGGCACTTGCAAAAGTATTACTTCCTATGATTGAATAAACTATAATAAAACTACAACAGCAAGTCTGTTTCATAAATGAAAGTCTGTAAGCCCCAAGCTTGCACAATGTTAGATATGTGCTACACCATGTGCCTTGTTTAGTGATAACAAGTATGACTCTTTATCTGTATTTTCTGCTTTATTGGGAGTCTCGTATTTCTTATGACCTTCCTTTGAAAGTCACGGGAACACATCATAATCCAAGCTTTGATTTTCAGAGGCTGAAGTTTTAAGGCTGCAATCCAAAGACTATCCCCTGGAAAACTGCAGGGAAAAAATATCTAATCCCTCCCCTTTGGTTTTCAAAGCCCAATTGGTAAAATTTGGCCCTATTTAAACTTAAAAGTATTCTCTATATGCAGGGAGATGTAACCTGAAGCCACAGGAGTTCTGTTTGTAGTGTTTTCAGGAACAGCTTTCTATAACAACTTTGCAGGCCCAAGTTGTCCCTTTGAGAAGTCTATTACACCTACCCATCAACAGAGATTTTTATTGATTCCCTGGGATCCCATGCTGTCTCCATTAAGAGTAAGGAGTGATTTTTTCAGTCTTGCCACAGTACTGTTTGCTGCTCCAAAGCTGTACAGAAGTTTCATATTTTTAAACTGAAATGCCTTGGTCATAATGGCTTTTGCCCCAAAATGACACAATTATCCACACCAGCAGCTCCCAAACTGTGGTTTGTAAAGCCATGATGATAGCTCCTTAGCACCAGGCTCCTTTAAAGTTTAAATCGTAAACTTCAGAGAAATACAGGATTAAGGTAATTGCCTGCAGTTCAAAATGTTTGGGAATGAAAGAGCTTAAAAAATGAGCTGAAAAATGAGCTCATCACTCTCTTACATCAGTCTCTCGACCTCTGTGCTTCAACATAACAGCTGCAAAGGGAATTTACAGTCCACTACAATCCCTTAATTTTCCCAAGTGATGGGATATCACTCACCTGTAAAACACCAGAAAGAGAGCAGCTAGATACATAAAGTGGACAATAGCAGCCATGGTACAAACAGATACCGACTAGTCCCATCCCCACTGCAGAGCTGTGCCAGACAATCTTGTATCATGCTGGGAACACGTTCAGGGCAGGCTGTGTAAAGTCACCCAACACCTTTCATCTCTTCATTTAGTTAGATGCCTTTGTTCAGGCTGCTGGAAACATTATGCCTTGGCTACATGGTTAAAAATAAACATTTTCATCATCAGCTCCTACTCGACTAGAGAAAAACCACTCCAGAATAGTCAGTACAGTCTTAGTGCTACCTTCCTTGTCAGCCTTTTGCTGCTTTTACCACCAACACTGTCAGAAAGCAGGTGCAACTCCATTTGACCACCATCCTTCTCACAGGCAGCCTGCTGCCCGTGCTTGCCTGCAAAGTTTAACAACTAAAGCTGCTTGACCAGTTGTACCCAGTGTTTGCAGTTTTCACATCCCTCTCTTTCTTGGCCTCAAAAAGGTAATCTCCCTTTAGTGGACAAATGTTTGGTGACAAGTTTAAGCTTCTCAGCAGCCAGCCAGCAGGCTCATTGTATGGTTACAGCTGTGCAACAGTTTATATTTTCACTCAGCTTTCCAAAATAAGTCTTTTTTCTATAAAAACATGATTTTTTTTATTAGTAGTACTTATATATATATTTTTTTTTTGCAAGCTTGAATGAAAGGCTTCCTTCCAACAGGTCTAGGAGAAACACACAAAAAAGTCAGCTTACTTTTCCCACGTTATTAGTGGCTCTCTCACTGAAACAATTGGGTGAACTGAAGTAGGTCTTGGTTCAATGCTCTGAGTTCTTGACTATGGTAGCATTTCACTGAACCTGACTTTGGGTAACTAACACTGTCTTGCTTGAAATGGCACCCTGTGGATGCAAGGCCATCTTCTGCTAATTTTTGTTGAGTTTGGCAAGGTTGCAGCAAGGCCAGGCCACTGGAAACAGAGTCCAGTGAGTCCATCCTCTTTAAAACAGAATGGGAAGGAAGGACAAATTTGCAAAATCACTCTTTCATTTGTTATTTTGGAACCAGCTATACAGAAGCCAAAAACTTCTTTTCATCTTTCGCCTTGAAAAACACTTGCAGTTAAGAGAGAATTTCTCCCTGATGGATCTCAAAGGTTAGAGAGGAGATTTGAGCAGTATCTAGCCTGGTTGTATCTCAACTAGAAGAAGAGCTGCTTTGTTCTCTGTTTCAGGAATGGCAAAACTGACATTTAAAAGAAGCTGCAGTGCACAATTAGCCAAGCACTCTGCTATCAGGATATGCCAAAACTGAGGCTTTGCACTTGACCTCCACTCCACATTCCTCACCTCTGGGAACCAGTATTACAATGCTATTTACATAATCACAGTATTTCCCTAATACAACTCTATGCTATTCCTCATGGACCATCAAGTTGTGTCTCTATTAGATACGGAATTAAAGGTATGTCAAGGACATCTTTAGATTCACCAACAATAGGGAGATGGTGGAGAGGATTAATTCTCACTATCTCATTTTTCTTTAAAAATAAACACACAGTGAAAAAAAACAAAAACAAATAAACCCTTAAATTATGGCCAGTAATTGAAAGAAAAACACTTACTTATCTCACTTCTGATGGAACCGAACATTGAGTAAAAATTATTTAGTGGATATTGTTTATCTGTCTCAAGGACTATTACAGAAGTAATGAATGTGCAGGTTTTCTTCATTAGCATAAAATATTACTAAAATGTAATCTGACAAGCTAATGCTACTAGCTTTCAGTAAAAAACAAAATATCTCAGTTTTCAGTGACTTCGTAAGCAGAGGCCAGGGTGGGAATGATGAGCTGGGATGGAGGGGCATTTCAGTGGTGTTGCTGCTTAATGTTGAACCCTGGTGTCAAGCAGTGAAGGCAGCATGACTCAAACTGAGGAAGACAGGAGTAAGCACACACACAGAAGCAGAAGGGAGGGGAAAAGCAGCCTAATCAAAACTAACAGCAGGATTTCTGCTCACACTTCAAACTGAGAGCAGATAAAGCCTTTCATTTTCAGGTCTGGAAAGCAAACCCCTGGAGTCCCTGTGGAGAAGTGCTCTGCAAAGAACTAGCAAACCTTTGAATTCAGTCATTTGCAGAACCACCCTCTTTCCACCTCCCTGAACGTTTTCCCCCCATCTCAGTCGTTTATCCATTAGTATTACTACTACACACTTACTGACCTTTCCTTTTATATGACAAACCTAAGCATTCAGTTTTGAAGCCTGAAGGCTCATTATCTGTACTGATTTTAGATGACATTCCATCCTCTCTTCATCTCCCTGTCAAGCTGTCTGTTGCTTGAATCACATCTCTTGAGAAGTCTAGGTAATACCTCAGGTATATATATTTTTTTCTAATCTGATGAAACCACTCCCCCTAGCATTTTCCCTGAGACACTTCCTACTAATTTAGGCTCAGCATCACAGAAGCCATTTGGGAATCCAGATAACACAAACATGCATCCAGTGAGACTTAAAGAAATTTCCAAGAAGTCTGCACAACC